ATATATTTGTGTGTGTGTGTGTGTGTGGAATTCATGTTGAACGGATTGTAAAGTGAACGACGAAGGGAAGGGCAAGAAAACACACGAATATGCCGAAGGCCTTTTCACTATTGCTTCGTCAGGGCATATGCCCTGACGAAGCAATAGTGAAAATAGTGAAGCAATAGTTAAAGGCCTTCGGCATATTCGTGTGTTTTCTTGCCCTTCCCTTCGTGTGTGTGTGTGTATGCAGAAACATCTATTTACGTACATATTCATATTATGTATGTATGTATATATAAATGCATGTACAGTACCTGCCTACTAAGACATACATACATACATATGTGTGCGTGTGTGTGTTTATGTATCCAATCTTCATTTTAAATGGTCACTATAGAAATGCTAAATGTGATTTCTTTTGTATACAAGGATAAGAATGGAAGTACCATACACACGAGACATAAAACTGAGAATTTTCTCTTACGATCGAAACCATGTAATAATGTATGCAGCAGATCCAGATACTGACGTCAGTACGAAGTTCCCATGTAGTTTATGCATGAAGAAATATCGTATGGGAAATCCCTTTCCCTTGATAACTAAGGGCACATGGCAAACGATCAAAATGAATCAGAGAAGAAAACTGCTACTGCTCAAAAAGAATAATATTACTTTATGACGTTCTGTTTTTTTTTTTTTTTTTTTTTTTTTTTTTTTTTTTTTTTTTTTTTAACAATGGAATACATAACGTGGCAGAGTAGACTAAAGATCAATCATGTACACAATAGATGTTACAACACATATTTCTTCCTATCTTTTTTTTTCATTCTTTCCACATAGAGTGCTTTTCTACAAGTGAAAGTATCAATGCACGATAGTACGGGTGAGCGAGTGAGCTGGGACGTTCGGTATATAACGGTGTAGGAACGCAGAGAGTGACAAGTTCTCCCTCTGCGGCATCATGGTAAAAAGGCGCTGTGTACTATCACATAGATAAGGAGGATTAGTTACCGTAGTGTATGGAGATATAGATTTACTGGAAATTTGTGTATTTTGGATCGGAAAGAAAGCTATACAGTATATGGATATTTGTGTGTTATTATTTTTTACTATTTGCAGAAATTTATACTTGCGTTTATTGGAGTGGCAGGCCTAGCTGTCATGTGTCAAGCTGACGGCGGACACGGGCATGGAGGTGGATACGGACACGGAGGTGGACACGGTGGATATGGACATGGCGGTGGATACGGGCACGGAGGGCACGGCGGTGGGTACGGACATGGAGGCGGCCACGGGCACGGAGGTGGATATGGAGTAGGCGGCATCTCGAACAGCAACTTCAACCTGGCAGGTCCTAAGGGTGGATACGGCCATGGAGGAGGTCACGGAGGTGGATACGGCCATGGAGGAGGTCACGGAGGTGGATATGGTCATGGTGGCGGCCATGGAGGAGGATACAGTCATGGAGGTGGTCACGGAGGTGGATATGGCCATGGTGGCGGTCATGGAAGTGGGTATGGTCATTAACTATTAACAATTTAGAATATTCTCATTCTGTAGGATTATGGAACAATTGCAGTTCATCTGGTGTCCGTAAATCATTAAACATAATTATATACTTATATAATTTAAATACATATATATAATTAATTTCTTTATCAAATATACAAGCTTCCTAATAAGGAAATAAACTATATGTTTCACTGTATTCCCTGTTTGCATGCACTCGTCTTTTGAATGCATACTCACACACACAAATATACAATCAAACACTAGATAAAAGGAAAAGCAAAGTGACAATGGAACACTGTGACATCATACGTTCCCCTTGCAAGTTTTACTGTAATTTAATCCTTATTATATTTGGAGGAACAAGTCTGTTTCACTCTTTATATAATTGATGAAACTCTTTAATGTTTTCTTTTTTTTCGTCGTTGAAGGTATGAATGTGGAATAAATATACCCATGAACCTGAAAATATGACCAAGGATGAAATATTTGGTACCTGTTTTCCAGCACGATCATGGGAGTATTTATTTAAACGTTAGTTGATTCAAATAAAGGGTAATACTTTTGGATGTCTTTGAAGTATTCCTTTTCATCGGTAGAAAAGATAGTTATTGAAAAGAGTTGCAAAATGGAATTTGTACCTACATTCTGTGCTGTGTTATAACCACCACACACAGAATATCACAGGGTTGAACTGACGAAAATATTCATTAGAAATTTTAAAAATGAAATCATGTTAACTGATTGGTGCTTCAGATCATCCACCAGTATAGATGCTGTAAATAATTTAATCTTGTAACTCTGCCATCAGTGAGGCGCAGGTTGTGTGAAAATACTGTTTTTTGCTCAAATATTTTACTATGAAATTGCATTTCAAGAATGTAATGAAACTAAATGCAGAATATATGTTCGCACGTTCGAAGGCAAAATTCGATCGTATATGAAGAAAAATCAAGAAAGGACGATGCCAGTTCCCTGTGATTGTTTTACTTATTAACAATATTTGGTATGGAATTCACACCCAACTTAGAGAAAATGTTGTCACAACATGCAAATTGCCTTTGTCCTTGGATCGTTTAAATGCTTACCGCACAGCTTTATTTCGTTAGCATATTTAGGATATCGCCATTATTTGTAGAATTATCGATGATTCATTTTGGGACTTACTACCGAAGTCGTGAAATGCCTGTTGCATATTCGTCATTCTAGGTCAAAGACAAGGGATTTTTTTAAATGTATGGATGGATAGTCGTGCATTATATCAAAACAAAAGATTCTAGGCATCTCCTAAATTATGATGTTAATGGTTACAATGCGAATTTTGTGTGGTAACGGGTAAAGAGATTCAATGTGTGTTTGCGTGTATAGCCATTCGCTTACACACACATACAGCTATCTATCTGTTTATCTGTGTAATTGTATCAATACATGAGTGTGCCAGATTTGAAATGCAAACACAGGCCATGGATTCAAGGCAAACTAATTGGAAAATTATCAGCTGAAGGAATTAGAGTAAAAGAAGAAAAAAAAAAAAAATGAAAGAAAAGAATATTTATATGTACATATATAAATTCTAAATGGAAACGGATAACAGATCGTATGTTAAATAAGCAAACAAATAGTAATAAAAGTTAATAATTACATATATATTTCATAATGAAGGACTATAATAGAACATACTATAAAGGAGACTCTCTTTGGCCCCTGTATTAAAGTACTCTTTCAAACTAATGAACTAATGATGTGCCACATACTCAACTATGCGGCGCATATCAGGTCTAGGGGTTATTTACATCCTAAATATCTGAAAACTTAATTTGAAAATGGAAATTCGTGTTTAAGATTGGAAAAAAAAAGCGAAAAGTATTTCTTACAATTTACTCTGGTATGTCATATCATTCTGAACTTATTCCTTGATACCAACAAAACTGTCTCCTGTTGCTGTATGCAAGGACCAAAAATAGATAAATGACTGATATTTCCAAACAACATGGCAGGCATCATAGCGTGTGGCGTTGCCTCATTTCCCCCATTTCCTTTCCTCCGCAGGAGGAGAGCAGGACACCGTCTCACAAGACTGTAATGATACCCTTGCTTATTACTTACATAATCATTATGCTTTACTCTTTTTCATATAACAAATTTTGCTATATTGAAATTCCTTCAAGAAAAAAACAATGGACCTTTCAAATGTCGAATCAATATCAATTTCGACATTATATATACATACATAATATATATATATATAATATATATATATATATATATATATATATATATATATATATATATATATATATATATATATATATATATATATATATATATATATATATATATATATATATATATATATATATATATATATATATATATATATATATATATATGCTTTTCATTAATTGCTGTCTCCTTTTTTTAACTTTGTGTGCGTCTTCATATATGCACACACGCAACACATACATACATACATACATACATATATATATATATATATATACTATATATATATATATATATATATATATATATATACATATATATATATATACATATATATATATATATATATATAT